GATGCATAAAAATCACTCATACGCAGCGTGTACCATGTTCGGTCGATTCCGTGCGGTTCCGTGCGGTTCCGTGCGTTACCGACCGCACAGTCGTCGTCGCCAGTTGCCACCTACTTGCAACATTTACTTTTTAGTTGCATTCTCCTTGCAGCACAATGCTGCATCCATTAAATGCCAAGTGCAAAGTGCAACAAAAGTGCTCCACAAATGACAGCGCGTCTGTGGGTGGATACTAAAAAGGCAAGTATGTAGCAAAAGCACACAGAGTATTTATATATGTATGTGTGTGTGTATACTATATATAAATGTAAGTCGGGCAAGAATCGAAGAGAGAGACAGAGAGAGAGAGAGAGAGAGAGAGTATGACACGCACTGGAGACCTGGAGGGTTTTCGGCGCTGCAGCTGCTACCATTGACAATTCTAAAGAAATTTATGTTCGAGTGAACTTAACAAAAAGATGTGCAACTGCACAAACACACACACACATACACACACATGCACATGTGATACGCCCACATATAGCCATTGGGATGAGTACTTGGCTGTTGCTATTGCTGACCTGATTGCTGTTTAGCTGATAAGTTTCAGCTCCTACAAGCCGCTGCACATGCGGCACGAACAGCAGCAGCAGCAGCAGCAGCAGCAGCCAGTCAGGCTGGCAGCTCGGCAGCCTGGGGGCAGCGTAAGCGTCACTTATCAAGTGATTTATGTTTGTAATTTACTAGTGCACTACACTGAGAATGGCAGAGTGAAAAAGAGAGCGAGAGAGAGTGGGAGTGGGGAGTGGGGAGTGGGTGAGCGAGTGCTGCCTAGCCTAGTGGGCCAACACAAGTCCCAAAAGTCTGCAATGGCAAATTGTCAAACAATGCGATGCTTTTATTAGCCAAAGTCAAAGCACTGAACTGCCATTGGCGGGCATTCGAGAACCTAAATGCTAACCCAAGCCCGAAACCCAATTCCGGTCCCAGGCCAGGCCCACTCCCAATGCCAGTTGCCGTCCCTGGGCATGGCACATTACTATTACTGTCAAGTGCCGTCGCCTACGTTCGTTCAATTCCAGCCCGCGAAATGTTATTAACTGGCTCTGGGATTCGGCACAGGCTTCCAACTTAATTAGCAGACGGCCAAGGCCAAGCACACAATGCTATCTTCACTTTGCGTGTAATCGCTGGCCTCCCACGGCACACTTGACCGTCATTACTCCCAAGGAAAAGCTCATTTGCTTCACTAGAGCGTGGGAGAGAGGAAGGAGAGAGGAAGGAGAGAGAGAGAGAGAAAGAGAGAGCTGGAGCAATAGGAATAGATAATACTCCACTCGCCATTAGCTACTCTCCGCCTAACACTTTGTACTAAACACTCTCCACTAATCGCTCTCTCTAGTCTTTAGTCTTTACTATCCAGTTTCTATTCTCCATTATCCACTCTACATTCATGACCAACCACTTTCTCCTAAACACTCTCCACTAAGCAGTCTCCTAACTTCACTTTCAACTCTCCCATCTCCTCTTGCTTACTCTCTACTTACAACTCTTCACTCTACTCCTATCCATTTTCCATATCCCATAGTCCACTCTTCTTTCTTCACATACCACTTTTCACTCTCCACTATCCACTCTACATTCTCCACCAACCACTTTCTACTAAACACTCTCCACTAATCAGTATCCTAAGTTGACTCTCCACTCTCCAACTCTTCACTCTTTACTCGGCACTTTCTATTTTGAATTCTTCACTAACCACCAGGAACTCTCCACTATACAGCCTCCATTCTCCGCTCGCTATTCTCCACTTCCCTATCAAACAGCCTCAACTCTCCACTTACAACTCTTTACTCACCGTTCTCCACTCTACATTCTCCACTTTCTCATAATCCAATCTTCTTTTACCACTCTCCTTTCTCCACTATCCTCTCTACATTCTCCACTTCCCCAATCTTCACTTACCACTCTCCTTTCTCCACCATCCACTCTACATTCTTCACTTCCCACTTTTCACTAACCACCATCTACTACATTTTTCACTAGCCAGTCTCCTATCTCCACTTTCAACTCTTCAATCTCAACTCTCCACTCTTCACCCGGCACTTTCTATTTTCGATTCCCCACCAACCGCCAACAACTCTCCACTGCCGTGTTTCCACTACCCACTATCCAATCGCCACTCTCCATTCTACACTCTCAACTCTCCATTTTCCACTCTGGATCCTGGTTAGTCGTTAGCCGTTATCATCGCTCGTGCGGCTGCTGTATTGTGGTTTTGTTAAGCTGTCTGCCATGTTTTTTCCACCTGCTCTCGCTGCTTCTTCTCATTCGCCTGTGCACCTTTGTCTAGCTAAAGCTGGCCACGATTATAAGGAGCGCAGCAGCAGCATCTGCCTGCATTTATTTTTTTTTTTTTTAGTCTACACTCAACGCTTGCTTTGTAATCAAAAACCGTTTGTAGATTGTGGCGAATAGGGGCGAGCCCAGGTGAGCGGGCGTGAGCAGCTGTTTTTTGCGGGTAACGGCACTTTTAATTAGCGCACTTCGAAGCTCACTTTATCAGGTGAAATGCACAGCGGGCAGCAGCACCACCAGCAGCACCAGCAGCAGAGATTCCGTCCGTTCGCTTCCTTCTACCTCATTTCCGTTTCATCCAATTACGGTCGCTTTGTCACTATTTGCATTCAGCTGGTGAGCTTATACAAACTTGCAACATTTCACAAATACACGAGTGCAACACCCAAACACACACACACACACACACATACAGATATAGATAGTCTGGGAGACCATCGAGTGTAAGTGAGGCCAACGGCATCTAAAAGTTCAACCTATCATCGCGTTGATAATTCCATTAATTTTGTTGCCATATTTTGCCATTGATTTTTATTTTCAATTTAAAGTTGGCAAAATTGAAGGAAATTTTATAGGAATTTTGATGAAAATTGTAAATTATTAAAGTATATTAAATGGCATACTATGTTGAATATTCAGACATTTAAATATTATTCATTACTTGAGTAATTGTTGAGTTATTTAATTGTTAAGTTATTCAGTTCATTCAAATCATTCTAAAGCATTGAAAGCAGTTTGAATATTGAGACATTCGTTGAAAAATTCGTTTCATATACATGCAAAAACTCTCTAACTAAATGGCATATCATATTAAAAATTCCAATATTTAAATACTATGAACAACATAATTATTACCAAAGTAATGTTCATTAATAATTATAGGACTCTTGCTCAGTCAGTCGCAGTTTCTCTTCTTGAAGCACTTCCAATTGGATTGCAACTGGGACAATACCTGGCATGCCATCAGCCCATAATTAAAGATCTGAGAGCAGTTTTAGCTGAAATTCCGTTTGTCATTAACTGACGTAAAAGCAGCTCGTATGCTCCATTTGTGAATTGTTCCGGCAATTTTTGAAGTCGGGCGATTTGCTGCTGTGGCTCTGGCTCTGGCTGTGGCTCTAGGGAGCCGGGTAGATGGGCAATACTTTCTGGCTCAACTCTTAACTCGAGCATGGTGAGTAAATTGTCGAATTTTGCGACTTGCGGCAAGTGGCGGCACTTGGGCTCCGTTCTGCTGATGCTGCCACAATAATCCAGCAACGGTGGCAAGTTGGCACTTCTGGCTAATGGCCATAATGTGCACTCATGGCATAATTTTGTGCCGTTGTGCCGTTGTCTTGCACGCGTCGCTGGAGTTTTCGGGCTCTTTGCTAGTTGTTTGGCATCTCTGGCGCATAATGTCGTTTATCGGCAAAGCCTGTGCGGAAAGCACATAAATACACACACACAGGGGGAGATGGAGGGAGACAGAGAGTGGGGTAGGGGGAGAGGGATAGTGTATGTATATCTACTGTCTTGTACGGGGGCACTATGTCAGTCCAGATATTGGTGTCGTGCCATCATTTTACCAAATGTTTGCCGACTGTCAGCTGAGCTCAGCTTTTAGCCAAGCCAAAAATCGACGCGCAGCAAAATAAATTCGAGTTCGGTTCAGCAAAAGCCATTCTAAACCAAGTCTCAACTGTCGCTTAGCTTGATCAGCTAGAAAATACCCTATATTTGCTATAAATACCATATGAGAATCGCATAGAGCGGCAGTTTACAGCAACTAGCAAATAGTCTGCATGCAATAAGGTCAACTGTAGGCAGAACACAATTCAAATTTGATAATCGAGCACTTAATGCTATATGAAAATCACATGGACCTTCAGTACAAAAATCTCTGACTATATTATCTATATTGGTTGGGTGGAAGGAAGTCTATAAAACAATAAAAATACTTTCATATACAACATGATTACTGCATGAGAATCGCATAGAACGGCAGATTGCATTACCTAGAATATACCTCGCATATATGGAACTTGGTTCAATCTAAACAACGGGCAGTAAAAAGTAATTATTGAACAATATAAATTTTATATTTTAGCTTTAAGCACTATATGAGAAGCATAACGAGCGGCGCTGGAGATTAAGTGAAGAGGAAGAGGCAAGTGAAGGAGAAATAGAGAAACTGTTGTACAATTTGACATTCAAGTTACAAATATTATTTGAGAAGCACATAGAGCGGCGCTGGAGTATAAGTGAAGAGGAAATTATAAGTAAAGGGGAAATAGCGAAACTCTTGCCAATATAATTATACCACGCTCTATATTCTATACTCAAAATATCATTTCGATTTTCAATTTGCGAATATTATATGAGAATCACATAGAGCGGTGGTTGATTTACATAGCTTAAATTAACTGGAAAAGCAAGAGATTTCGAGAGTTGGACACATGTAAACCTTTTTCCAATGTCATTTCAGTTAGACTAAGAGACAAAGCTAAAGAAATCAATCACTAAAAATTATAATATTTAGGTATATATATAGAACCACACAGCATTCAAATAACGCTTCAATTGTTGACTCCGTTTGGATTTACGTCCAGTTATATTATCCGTGCACTTGCAGCAGCACAAGAGCACAGGGATGGAGTGAAACTATTCTACTGTGTACTTACCACATCGATGATTTGCATAAGTGTGAGACCGAAACTCAATTGCAGTGGATCGGATTCGTTGACCACGGGCCGCTCCAAGCTGTTGTAGTTGTCCAGCAGAGCGTGCAGGAGGCGCTTCTCGTGCGGTCCAGCTGAGCAGGCTGCAAGCAGAGTAGATGAAATCGAGAAGTTCTTAGATGTGTGTGTGTGTGTGTATGGTCAGGTGAGTTGTCAGCTAAGGTCATTGGAGCATTAAAAGGGGGGAGAGAGAGAGAGAAAGACAGAAAAATAAAAACGAACGAAAGGGAGAAGAAAAATGTTTTAACTTCGACTTGCAACTCAATTGAATTTTATGAAACTCTCGCAATGACTTTCTGCCGGGCTTAGGGCCAGCCAGCCGTGGCAGCAGTTTAGCCTGCATTAACGTATCGTTGGCATTGTAGCTGTCACAGCACCCCGCCCCGCCCCGCCCCACCAGCTCCAGCAGTTCCCCAGCGTGCGCCCCTCGATGCTGGCCCTGGTTGTTGCTGCTGCCAATTAAATTTGTTCAACCAATAAGTGGCTTTGGTTTGGCTTGACGTTGGCAACAGCTTTAGCCCCAACAGCTTATGCCACAGCCAAAGCCGCAGTCCCAGCCACAGCAGCAGCAGCAGGAGCAGCAGCAGGAGTAGCACCTGGCTACAGATTCTACGTTCTGTGCCCTCTCGCCCCAGCTGATGTTGCTCCTGCAGCTTATAAAGGGCATCGTGGCACGCCGTGGCCAGGGGATTTCTTCTATTTACTTATTTATTATTATATCTATATTTTTTTTTCTTATTTTGCAACGGCTTCTGACATTTGTAATTGTAGGTGGTCTGCGCTGCTATTGAGAAATATTCATAGAAGCCAATGAGCTTAGTATTTCACTCCCCGTCCGCCTGTCCCTCCCCAGCGCCCGCGCGTAGTGTGGCTTCAACAATTGACTTTAAGCCGACGTCTAAATTAGCCCTCAGGGGGAGGCGTGCGGCCGGCAGGATGTGTGGTTGTTAGAAGCCAAACAGCGTGTAAGCCCTTAAATTGGCCTAGGCTTAGGTGCGCCCAGCCACAGGTGCCGAATTAGAAATGGGTTTTTGATTTTAAAGCTTTCAGAATTATGAATTCGCTC